AGCCTCTTTTAATTACCTCGGGCTCAACCTCGCCCGAGGTCGAGCCCGAGAAAAATGACAGAGGCTTACTAAACCTTGAGCGACATTTCAAATCTCTTCAACCTCGTTCGAGGTCCATCCCACTTCATTGAAAATACTTCTTCATCTTCAACCTCCCACCATACCACTTCAAACATTTCAAATCAAACTCCCACAGCCACAGACCTCAATTCCAACATAAACGAAAAACAGGGAACGAAACAAAGAAGAACACCAGAAAAACAAAATCAACAGAAAAAAACCTAAATTGATGCAATATTATACATGTATTCGTTCATCTAAACATCGAAAAACTGAATCAACGCAAATAAACAACCATTCAACTCCTGAACACACATAAAATTGAAGCCAATCGCCAAGAGAAACAAAAATTAAGAAGAAATTCGAAGGGACTACGAAGAAAAATCGAGACGACGAATTTGGGCTGAAAAAGACGAGGAAGGGGGAAAGGTAAAGCAAATGGTTTTGTTTTCTGAACAAAAGGGTAGTACTGTAATTTTGCTACATTTTAAAATTAATTAAATATTCCAATGGGTCATTTGGACACATTTAAAAGAGGTGGGTCATTTGAGCATTCCACAAACTTTTAAAAGGTTTTTTGAAATGGGATTCGAACCCATGATACAATCTTCTTGTATGTCGATTTAGCAAACCAATGCCTTTAGCCACTCAGCCATACCTCCAACTTGTTGATCGGAATTTGAGCCCTTTGGGTAATCTGATCCAATCAACTGCGTAAGCCGTAGCGAGCTAGCGCTAGCGCTCGTACTCTTCCTCGAGATATATGAGCGGGACTCTATACAGATCTATGGATCTCCCCAGCATCAAAGTGAGACTCCATCCAAATCTGTCATTCGTTTGGCGACGCCTTCTTTTCTATGAACACTCCACCACTGAAGAATCTAGATCCCCATCTAATGGGAATCTTAGATTTCCACGAAACAAACTGCCGCTCAAAATGTTGAAATACTAACAATGAAACTAGTACATCTCTGCACTAATTTTTAATGGATCTTACATTAATTTCTTATTTTTTTTTAAACAGAGGATTACCATTTTTTTTTAACAAAATTGTATCAGTTAAATCATATTTTGGGTAACAGCTCCCATAAAAAATAAAGGATTTTAAAGCCTGAAATTGAAAATTTTAAATGTGATGAACTTCTATGAATGAATTATAAAATTTTAGGTCTATAAAAACATTATTTAGTTTATCTGTCTACAATGAAGGGAAATAAAATCCTTTTCAAAAAAAGGAAATAAAAGAAAGGTAATTTTCAAGTCTAATGTTTATTTATTTTTTGCTTTAAATATTATTTTATTTCTCATACCTTGTTCATTTTGATTTCTATACATTTTAAAGTGACCATTGTAATTTCTTCATTTTCACCTCTATCACATTTCTTTATATTACAATTTTCATTGTAATTTCTTCATTTTCACCTCTATCACATTTCTTTATATTACAATTTTAATACAGTACTTCATTCAATATAAATGGGTATTAAAAGATCATGTTGTCTTTATATTACAATTTTAATACACTACATTCACTATAAATGGGTATTAAAAGATCCTGTTGTGTAAAATTTATGTTAGAATTTTACAAATGGAGACCAAAAGGGTCGTTTTTAAAATATATGAACTATGAAAATACATAAACTAAAATAAACAAGAAAACAAAAAATGAAAGTGGAATGGTTTCTTTGAAAGTGTTGGACCAAAAATCCCGAGTGAATAGTATAGAAACAAAATACTAATTGAAGCTCAATGGTAGCCGTTGAGAATCAAATTATGGCAACAAAAGACTAACGATCGAAGATAACCATTTGAACTACGTTCAAGTCGACTTACTGAGTTATTCAAGTTATACTTGAATGGGCCTTTCCAAGTCTAAATTTAGATAACATGAATTTATATAACTCATAACCATACATACAAACTTAAATGTCAAATATAAATTGAACTTTTTAAATTTTACACCACACAAAATTGCAAAAATTGCAAGCCAAACCCTCTTTTGGTTCTTAGCCCCACAAGTTATAGGGAGGAAAAAAATGGGATTGCTATTGTAATAGTTACATCAAGACTCTGAAATTGGGTTGGAGATTGAATACAAAAGTAATTATAAAACTAATTTCATGTCTGCTCCTAAAAACTAACCTAAAAAATAATATTTGATTCAATCAACTATTTCAATCAATATCTTTGGTAGAAGTTGGGAATCAGAGACTCCTTTTCTTTATACATGAATGCAGTAAGAGGGGGGTTGGAAATGAAAAACAAATTTTCACATTTGCTAAGCCAGTTTTTCCCTGAACTAAATAATAAAAAAAGGGAAGAAAAAAAAACCTCCATTAATTTTACATTTTAACTCGGCATGAAAAATGCTCCCAAAAAAAACGCCTCCTAATCGTAAAAATGCTTCAATCATGTCTCGCTTTCTATCACTGGTGAAACTTTACCTGTTTCCGAAGGCTCGACATCATTGTCTCGTGTTGAATTCTCGGATTCTTCTTCGTCTCTTGGGGTTTCCTTGAAAACAATGCTTTCTGCTTCGCTTTCAGGCTCCATGTCTGCATCTCGAGATGCCTCTGGAGAAGCGCCGTCGGGGTTTTTGCCACTAGAAGACAGCCATATAAATTTCAAATCCTGACCTTGCCAGCATTTACCATCTTCGAATGCCCTTTCAGCTGAATGACGAGTTAAAAAAGTGACATTAGCTGAGCAGTTATTTGATGCATTTGATACGCGGTTGTCATCTTCCGAAACTAGTTCGACAGTACAAACATCACCAAACGACGAGAAATGTTCCTTGACCACATCCACCTACAACAAATGATAACATTAAATTAGCTTTAGGTTAAAGATGGCCCAAATGCAAAGTTCAACCAAAAAATCAAGAAAAGAACAAAATGAAGGCAGTTGAAAAAAATCTTCAACAAAGACATTCTTATCAGAGGTGATGTATCCTTGATTGATTGCATTGGTTAACAAGACTTCTACACGGCTCGTACGCATATTATATTTTGTATTATTGTAATCATTTTATCCTTTTACATTCTTTACTTGAAGTCAACCTTATACTTATCTACATATATCCTTTAGTGAATGGAATAGAGATTATTTGATTCTCTAGGACATTTAGTTTCAGCCACAAATAGCACCGAATCGAGAAGAACAAGGAGGATTCCCCTAATCCTGCCACCAAAGGCATCACGTCCAACAAGGACCTTTACCTTCTTTAGACTTGAGCTTCAAAATTGTACGACCACTCAAATGGGAAGTCTCAACCGAAATATCTCCCCAAATTTAATCAGGCCTTTTTCTCACTTATGGTCTGACATCAAAATGGAAAGAAAATAGGAAAAAAAAGAAAAAAGAAAAAAAAAGCATTGAAGTATAAGAAAGCCTCGAAGAAGAAGCAGTAGTTGTGAAGCCTTTGTTTTCTTTTAGTGGGATAAGGTTAGGGTTAAGGTATCTGTGGTTACAAAAAGTGTTTAGGCTTCAATGTAGTCCCTTCATTGGTCTTTTTCTGGTTTGGTTTTTCTTATTTTATTTGCAGATGGCTTTCTCGGTTCAGAAGTTCTAGGATGTTGCTCTTATTTGGAGCCTTTTTGCACTTTTGAAGATGTAGCTTTTTCGTTGATTCATGGTTCATGGAATCCCTTTTGTGGGGTGCTTTTACTAGCCCTTTGTAATTACTTTTTAGTTTTCTGCATTTCTTTTCACTCTTTCGAGAGTTCGTATCGTTGAACATCTGGTTCCTTTTCATATCTTCAATGAAAAGTTAGTATCTTGTTAAAAAAAAAAAGGTTCATGGAATCCCTTCTGGAGAGAGTTCTTTCTCGTTTGTTCATTTGGTTGGGCGGTGTGTATTTTTCTATTGGCAGTTACTTGGAACTTCTATCGCAAATTTTTATTTTATTGATGAAAATTTTCTGATCCAATTTCTCAAACTCTTGCACCAAGGCATAAAATACCACAGGCTCCTTGAACTAATATAAAGCATCAGCAAGTAACCAGACAAAAAGCTCCTCAACAAACTTGCTGGACGACATGATCTAAATGCTAGAGCATTCCTCTTTTTGGAAAACCCCCATATCCACCACTAAGCTAATAGGTAAGGTGTAATTCCTTTTCCTAAAGTTACATGTGGCGAAAGGAAGAAATCTCAATTAACATGGTTATGATACAAGCTTCTCGTTGAAATAATGAAAAGGAAATACAATGTTCCAGGATCAATTAACATGATGATTACCTTCCTAAATTCATACATTCTTACAAAAAGAGAACTCAAGTAGGCTAAATCGGGGTGAAGTTTATTACCTTGTGGCTCATTTGGTTTAAAAGAATTAGATGGAGATGGAAGCCAGGAGACTTTTAATGGATGAAGCCCATGAAGTTCTGGATTTTCAGGCTCACTTCATCATATCCAGTCCTTCGAGAGGTTTTTCATTGCAAATAAGACCTCCACAAGCAACGCCAGTAAACTTGAAAGGTATCCAGGTTCCATTTGGTTAGAGGTAGGTTTCTTACCTCGACTCAACCTCCATAAGAAGGAACAAACTTGTCTTAGAAGAAGGCTTCTTCACTCTAGGGTTCAAACTTGAGTTGGAAGTTACCAAACTGTATACCAGCCCTACCAAAAGGGGACTAATGGAACAATAGTCACTCACATGAGATTACCAAATCCTTCTTTGGGCATCCCGTTTTCCATAAAGCTTTCAATAACTATTTAGGTAACTTGAAAATCCTTCATGACCAACCTACCTCTAACGATCTAACGATCTTGAAAATGATTTCACCAAAAACAGTCCTGAAGAATCAAGAATCGACTTGATTTCATCCTCCAAAGCATTTAAAGAAAGTGAGAATTTAGAATATCAAGAAGAGACTTGAACTCTTCCACTTCAATTTCCTTAAGAATCCTTCTTGCTTCAAATTTCCAAGAGAAAGAGGTATCAAAGAGAGCTTGTGTGATAGGGCCATCCGCTCGGTATTTCCCCATCCTTGAGAAGCAAAAGTTGTAATCCCATAAGTTGGTTGCGGTGGAATATGGCCCTTGAATCTATTGTTCTTGTTAGCAGGCCAAGCGTCAAAGTCAATTAACTATATTTGGCTATATGAATTTTCTACAGAGATGGCTTTTATCATTTAAGTACCTCCATACTCACCTGGAAAGAAGGACTTGGTTTCACTTCTTTATGTTTCCAACGTTGAGAGCTCCATAGTGTGATAATTAACAAGGTGTGCCTTCCTTATTCTGTTGGACCATTCCAAGAGAGTGCCTAAATTTTAATTCATTAAGTCGAAGAAGAGGAAGAGAGCTGGCTGAGCCGCTGAGTTTAAGTCATTAAATCTTGGGAAGAGATTGAGGGAGAAAATCTTTAACAGGGTCGTGTGAGGGGAATGACCTTTTTGGCAATTAACATGGTGTGCCTTCCTTCCTTTTTTAACAAGATACTAACTTCTCATTGAAATAATGAAAAGGAACAAAATGTACAAAGATACAAACTCTCGAAAGAGTGAGAAAAGAAAAATAACAAAACTTAAAAGGGTACAGTAAACACTCTCCAATTAGAACATATCAAACTAGGGGTCTAACTTTTAAAAATAGATGATAAGGAACACAATTGAGAAACTTTGAACTTAGCTATATTGAAACACATCTCCGGAGATTGTCTCTTGTCTTCGAAAATGCTGAGATTCCTTTCATACCACAGCTTGTAAAGTAATGCCTTTGTAGCATTGAGCCAAAGAAGGTTGACTTTAGGATTAGAGGTTGGCCCCAAGAAGCTTAAGGATATTATCAGCAGCTATGTTTCCAAAGACCCAAGTCAAATTAAATTCTTCAAAGATTAATTCCCAGCACTGTCAGAGCGAAAGGACATAGGAAAAAAATGTGAACCAAGCTATCCTCGTTGGATTGGCATAGTGGGCAAATTCAAGGCAGAAGAACATGACCAGGCAGCTTCTTTTGTAGAATGTCTGCTGTGCTAACCCTTCCGTGGAAGAATCCAAGTGAAAAAACTCACCTTCTTTGGACTTTTGGCCTTCCAAATAGCTTTAAATAAGTCTGAAGGCATAGAAGCATAAGAGGGAATCTTACGAATAGAGGCTGCTGTGAAGCAACCTGAGAGTGCCTAAATTTTAAGTCATTAAGTCAAAGTAGAGGAAGAAAGCTGCCTGAGTTTAAGTCATTTAGTCTTTGGAAGAGATGTAGGGAAAAAAGCTTTAACAGGGTAGTGTGAGGGAAGGGAATAACCGTTTTACTAATTAACAAGATCCTCTTACTACTTCTGTTGGGTCATTCCCAAAGAAAGCCTATGATGATTTCCTCCAATTGCTTGGCCACTGAACCAGTGATATGAAGGTGTTAAGAAGAAAAAGAATAAAGCTGCCTGAATTTAAGTCATTAAGTCTTGGCAAATGATTTTCTGGAATTGCTTGGCTGCTGACCGGGGGATGTGAAAGGAGGAAATCAAATAGAGAAGAAAAAAGGCCTTTATTTTCTCCCAGGGGGACCAAGAGAACAAAAACTGCAAGAACGCCAAAGGGCCTAAATAACTCAAAAGAAAGCCTTCCAATTTCTAATTATCATGGATAGGCTCATTATAGGTTTTACTCTATGTTATCTAGCTGGAATAGCTTTTTGTAATCCCTGCATTGGGACCAATCTTTTGTAATTTCATCTCATCAATAAAATTGTTTTTTTCCACAAAAAAATTATCATGGATAGGCTATAACTACAAAAGAAACCTTTGCAGTTTGCACTCTACCAAGAAGGCAAGTGTTGTATACTATTTGGCAAAAGAATCAGCTGGTCCACTCTTTCCTTCAAAATTCTTTAATTCCTTTCTTTCCAAATACTCCAAAAGGTAGCGCATAAGGTGCACAACCAAAGGGTCTTAGGTTTTCTGTTGAAAACTTGAAACCCAACCCTTGCAGACTCTCCAAGAGCAAATGATCTGCTTGGTTGGGAAGGCATATAGACAGTCCCAGTTCGCTAAGGACAAAGCACCAGGCACGGTAAGCAAAAGGACAATACAAAGAGAAAACAAAATAATACAGAAAAAGAAACTTGGTAAGGTGCAACAAAAACACTCCAATTCGAGCACATCAAACTAGGAGAATAATGATTAAATAAGGGAGATGGAGAACTCCATTGCGAAGCCTTATATTTGAAAAGATCAAATCGAGCTAAAGGAGATTGTCTCTTATCTTCAAAAATCCTCAAATTCCTTTCAAACCACGTCTCTTACACTAGGGCCTTTACTCCGTTAAACCAAAGAACAGAAGCTTTGGGATTCAAAACAGGCCCCACAGGCCCCATAAGTAACCGGCACAAAATTATCCGCCATCTCGTTACCAGAAACCCATGCCAGAATTCTTCCAACAGAAAATTCCAACACTGTCTTGCGTAGGGACAAAAGAAGAAAATGTGAGCCATACTTTCTTCATTAGCCAAACAAAAGGAGCAGACTGAAGGTAATAGACTAATATTTGGAAGCTTCTTTTGAAGAACATCAATAGTATTAACCTTCCCATAAAGAAGAATCTATGTAAAGAAGCTCACTTTTTTTGGACTCTTGGATTTCCAAATAGCCTTGAATAAGGCTTTTGGCATAGAAATATCACTGCCCAGCTTACAAATTGAATCAACAGTGAATAACCCCGAACTGCCCAACGACCATTTTCTGCTACCGGAACACTGCTAGGGATCAATAAGAACGAAGCAAGGACAATAATGAGATAAATTCTTCCATCTAGTCATCTTTTAATAGCCTCCGCGTAAAAATTTTCCAAGACAAAGTATGAGAATCCCA